GATAGATAGATAGATAGATAGATAGATAGATAGATAGATAGATAGATAGATAGATAGATAGATAGATAGATAGATAGATAGGAGATGGAGATAGACAGACAGTTGTATACAAATAAAATAAATTTCTTTGAGAGTCATGCTAAACTTTGTATACCAGGTCAAAAGTTACAGTGTGAAAATGAGTGTGACCAAACTATTTGGAAAAAGCTTTCAAGAATAAATTGTATCCATTTCTTCTTTTCAAAAAATATGTTGCCTCAGAACTAAAATGTTTATACATTCTTTGGCATTTTACTAGGTCACAGTAAATTGGTTTCCAAATTTGCTTTATTCTGATTACTTATAACTTATTATTCTTTCTTTTTTTGGAGCAAATTCAAAGATGAAATTACAAAAATAACATCTCTTAACAATCATTTTCTTCAAAGAGAAGCCATAAATCTTAACCACAGCATATAAAGAAATATTTTCAATCAAGGATAGACTCTAGAAATTAAAAGCGCAAGAAAAAAGTGGAAAATATAATAAGATTCGAAAAGTTTTCATTGGGTGCTTGTTTTAAACTTAAAATAGTACGTGTAGTTTTAGAATTATGCCTTCCATCTGCTTTATCTTCTGGTTCTTCCTATTCTTTCAGTTCTGAGGGATAGAAATTTGAAGGATTTGCTGACTAACCTCTCACAAAAGCAACAGCATCCATACCCAGGAGAATTTTAATTTCTGTAGGCTTAATCCAAACGAGGCAGAAAGCCAAATAAATTCACAATTTCTATATAAGCAGAACAACATTTCTCCAATTCAATTTGAAGTTTGCCTAATATAATATTCACGTACTTCTACTCTGAACTTGTTTCATCCAATTAGCTTGCAGTCACTTTTTCCATCTGGATAAAACTGAATTGTGTCTTCTTACTGTTCCTCTTTTATTGGGAAATATGATTTCTGCACAATTATTGGTGTTCTCAGCTTCTTTGTGAATCTGCTGAAGTTTATTCTCCCCAGGCCCCGGACGGACATTCAGGGACAGAATTTGAAATCAAAAATAGATTTCTTGGAGCCTAAGCATTCAAACTAATATTCAAAATAAATGCTTGCAAAAAAGGCAAATTCTTCTGGAATAGCAGTTTGGAGCTTGTTCTTCTGCTCACGCAGCGACAGTTACACTAAGCCTTCCAGCTCAGCTATGGGCATATACCTGTGTTACCTGTGTTAGTCTCTGGTTCCCTTTCTTCTTCCCTAATGAGACTTTCCAACTTGAGGAACCAATTCTCCTTCTGCTGGGCAATGAGCCACATCAAAACCTGGCAGAGAGAAGTATTTGTTTGCACAGTCCTAATAAGGTTGTCTAATTCTGTGCTAATTGTGTAGGTTTCTCTTTGCTATCCTCTGGAATCTGCCAGCTCTCATAATCCTCTCTTCCCTGATAGCCACATATGATCCTTCATTACAGCTTTATGTTAGCAGGCATGGAATCCGTTGAACACTCATATTCTGCAGCGGCAGTTTATTCAAAAGGAGGCCGGTGTTGAAAATCACTGATGGCAGTTTCAGTGTGCTTGCTAATTTGCAAAACTGCACAAAAATAGCTTCTTCTCTTTTGAGGCATTACCAAAAATGTTTCAAAAAACTAATCTTTGTAAGAAACCATAGAATCAACTGTAAAAAAAATACAACGATCACTTGAATGTATTTGCATGTGAACTTAACTCTCTGTTATCTTTATTTATCACACATTAGTAAGCAAATATATGAACTGTGGTCCTTTCCTTTATTTTTTGCTTTCTTCTCAGGTGCTGCTCAGGAAAAGAATCAAACTGAGCACCACATTCAAATGATACAAGGAAAGTTCCAGTATGAGGTGTTTCAAAAGTCTAGTTCTTGCCACAAAACAGAAATCCATTTTCAAATTTTTGATAGTATTGTTATGCTTCAATATCTTTGCAATCTTTGATTTGTTTGCATTGGTTGTAACCTCACTGATCTTCTATAAAAACAAGTCATTGGATAGTCTTTCATATTCATCCATTTTTTCTTCACATTTCTTCTCATTAAAAATAGAAGTCTTCTCCAAAAGGATTTTTTTTAAAAAAAAAAAAACTTTGGATAACTGAAAGTGTTTATGGTCAGAACATGCTTTCTACTGAATACCCATGTTTTGAATGTATGGCTCTAATATTGGCCTTTGAGCAAAGATGCAGTTTTGCGTGGTCTTCAAGAATTTTCTACCTTTGAAATAACAGAAAACACTTGTAGCTCAGGTTTTAGATTTTGGCAGTGGTTTGCTCTCCAAGCTTGTTTCAATTTAGTTTTGGAACATTTTGTTACCAAACTAGGTAACATCATTAGCAGGATTTTCTTGTCCTCCTTAGCTTATAAATGTCTTCTGTGCCAGTTGGTCGTGTAATTGGTTGTTTGTTTGGAGCTATATTTAAATTCTGAGCAGCTGATTGGTTCTCTTATTGGTTGTTTGTTTGAATAGTCTGGTTTCTTATATATTCAAATACCGGATCTACATCAATATGCTTGTTAATTTCTCCTTTGGTAGAATACCAGGCCTCAATAAATTCATGTGTGTGGTGGGTGACGAGGTAACAAAATGTTCAGAAACTAAATCGAAACAAACTTGGAGAGCAAACCACTGCTAAGATTTCCTACCTTTGCCTAATGCATACATATGGCATTCTTTCAATATTTTCTGAATACGACATTACCGAACTCTCTTCACAAAAGTAGATGTTGATTTTAAATCCAGGGAGTTCAGGACCAGAGACACACATTTGATGGAAATTCACAGCCTTCCCCTAAGATTACTGTTATGCCTTCTGAGACTGGCAATGGACTAAATTGAATGCCTTTCAACAGCTTCTTCACAGCAACTCTTTTTTTTTTTTTTTTGCTGCATTACTTGCACATTTTGGAGTAGTAGTTATGTTGCCTCTTACTTAACCCTCTTTGAACTATTGGTTACCTTCTCGGATGTATGATGTTTGTTGTGGCATGCTACTACCTATGGTAAAGACACAGTACTGAAAGTGTTCTTGAGAGAGTTGCTTGTTCTCCTATTGTCCAACTCAGCAGAGATAGTTGCTGGTCAATGTCATGGCAAGCTAGAAAGGTAGCTGTATTGCAGGAAGCACAGCACAAAGACAATTTATTTTTATAGTTGTTAAACTAGTGGAAAAAGATGTTTTTATTAGGATGGGAAAGAAAGCAGCTGTTGGACATTTTCGAGTTAAGGGGCTGTTTGCCCTTACAATGACTGTCTCCTAGTGGCTATCAATCCTGAAAATTCACCACTTGAGCCCAGATACTTAGAATTCAAATACAGGACTACTAGGAATAGATTGATGAATACCACTTTAATAAACATACATAGGAACATGAGATATTTCATCTATGATTAAACATATATAGTTTATGGATTTTTAAAAAACTCATGAATAGTTTTTAAATATTAATGTGAATTAGGGTAATAGTTGTTGGAAAAGCAGAAGCTATATATTAGGAAAAGAAATATCTGACTGAAAAATAGCTATTTAGACAATCTATAGAGAATACATAAAATGACTGATATGTAACTATAGACACGTTATATTTTGAAATAACATTAACATTTTGGAATAAAATTTGCATTTTTTTCAATAGTAGAAAACTATTTTTTGTTTTCTTGTTAGGTTGTTTTTCCCCTATTATTTTATTTTGTACTGTAAGGCAATACATATTTGATTTTATCTGGTTATAGATTTCAAAGAAATGAACAACCTGGCTTTGAGAAGTTGTCTTTTTTTATTTTGGTCAGAATATGCCAAAGAATCACAAAGAAAAAACAAAATTATCCTATACCCAGCTATTCTATCATATAGAAAAAAACATTACTGCCATTACTTACCTGGTAGAAAAGAAGAAAGTTAACATCATAAATCCCAGCTGCACTGAAAATACTAAAATGAAAAGCATATTGATGTGAATATGCAATACATTCAAATGTGTGCTTTAAAAATATACTCATTTTCCCACATAAAAAAGCTAATATTCTATAAAGTATTAATACTAATCTTTGTTTCTGATATGGTTGCAAGTAAACAGATCAGGCTCTAATATAATTCCATACCTCACTATTTATTTTTTTGTGTTTGAAATTTAGATCTTCCTTCCTTCCTTCCTTCCTTCCTTCCTTCCTTCCTTCCTTCCT